AACGGAGGTTTCCCTGCAATGATATTTTGATTTGTTTTAACGCTTCAACCTGTGATGCTCCCCATAGAAAATACTTATCTTTTTTTAGTAATGAGGTCAGAGGTTCATGAATATGTGATTCGTTGGAAATTGATCATACCTAATACCTGAAGTAGCCCTTTTCTATTTTTGGGTTGTGGAACATTTGATATTGCTTCTATTCTATCGGGATCTATGGAAATTCCTTTTTCCGATACAATGAATCCCAAATATTCAATTGTTGTTACACCAATAACACATTTACTTTTATTTAATGTTATTCCCGCACTATGTAAACGAGCTAGAACTGCTCGAAGGATAGTATCATGTTCTGCCATAGTACGAGCATATATTAACAAATCGTCAATGTGCATGGTTACTCCTTTTATACCTGAAATTATCTTGGAAAATTTCTGACTAAAATATTCTGGGGCACTGGAAATTCCGAATGGCAATCTAGTAAACATAAGTCTACCAAAAGAAGTAATGAATTTTGTTAAATGCTGTGAATCTATTTTTAGTGGAATTTGGTAAAACCAAGAACAAGCATCAAGTTTTGAAGAATATTTGGAACCACTCAGCTGAGATAGAGTTATTTCCACCTTGTTTATTGGAAAATGGGCTCTCATGATACTTTTATTCAATTGAGTATAGTCACAACATAATCTAACCGTATCACTTTTTGCTATTACCACAATAGGAGCAACCCAAGGTGTTGGATCTTCAACAGGTATTATTATTTTCAAATTCAACAATCGATCAATTTCATCTCTCAATTTATCAAGTAGGGGTAGTGGAACAATTCTAGGTACTGTTTGTAAAAATGGCTGAGCGTTTTCTTTCAACTTGATTCCAATTTCATCTCTGAAGATTTCGTTATCATTAAAAATTCTAGGGGATTCTTGTTGTATATCAACAGAAGAAGATATTTCTGAATTATTGATATGGCTCACAACAGAATACTCCTGAAATCTAAGAACTCCCAAATTAATTATTCCAGGCATACCAAGAATGGGTATTTTCAGATCTTTCATTACATAAACTTCCGAGAGAAATGAATTTTGTTTATATTGTAATTGCAGTTTGATTTCACCCAGAACATTCAGATTCCTACCATCTGGACCTGAGATAGACTCTTCGCATTTTTCGATTATATTAACAAAATTATTATTGAACGTAAAAAGAGGTACACACACAATATCGGCCCCTGTGTCAACTAAAAATGATATCGAATATAAATCTTGGCAACCAGTAATTCCTACCTCAACATACTTACCATTTATCATTTTTTAACTGATTTTAATGAAGTGTACCCAAAAAACGAATTGATAAACTATGAACATTTCCTGACTGTGGTGGATCTTCCTCTTCTACATCAATTCCTTCAACCATATTGATATTCTTGACTTGTTTTTTCATTTTCACTCGACAAACCTTGCTCCAGTGACCCAATTTTGAACAAAGATTACACCTTGCATTCTTCGCTGGACATGAATCACGGGGATGCCGTTCCAATCCACAAAACCAACACGTAGGACTTTCTGTTCTGTTCTGATGTCTCGAGGGACCCGTTTTATTATGAAACCCATAAGTTTCTTTATTTCCTTCTCTGTGGCGTACTACATTCAAAACGCCATTGTCATTGACAAGTCTTTGATTCTGACGTAAAATCATATTCTGCTTCGATTGCATTTCAGCTCTTCGTACCATTAAAGCAGCTTCTTCCAGTTTCAGGTCAGGTTTCATTTGCAGTTGTTCACTGACTCTCATATCCAGAATTCCAATGACTATCCTGTCTCTTATCAATTTCTCTTTCAATGGCCCGTATTCACAACTTTCAGCTAAAGTATGTAATGATGTTATAAAATTATCTGCTGATTCACCTTGAAGTTGTACTTTTGAATTGAATTTGAACCTCTCAAAGATTATATTTCTCTTTGGATTGAAATATTCATCGAATGCATTCAACATTTCATTATGAGTTGAAGAAACCATTGGGAATTGTAGTAAAACTTCCTCACTTTCTTCGCCCATCAAATATAAAAATATATTGATCTTTCCTTCATCGTTCTTCCTGGATAATCCCGAAATAACCGAATACCTTTCAAATCGTTTCTTCCATTGAGACCAGTTCGATGGAGAATTGAAGGTGAACTCGTCTGGCGATGAAACATTCAAACTCTGATTGCAGCCGGAACTGCTACTGCTTCCATTGTCTCCTTCTATCGTCTTAATGTTTTACCGCTGCCACCATGTTTAGTAATTGGTTTGAATAGAAATAAGACTCTGAAGTAAATTCCAGTTTCATTTTGAAACTTCTCCAGAATATTTGACATCTATCTATCATCTTGACGACAACCTCTGAAGTTCTAAGCTCACTTCATAAAACCCAATTCTATACAGAATGATTTAACTAAATGATTACCTAACACAACAAATAGGAACTGTATTCCATCGCCACATCAATTCATCGGCACTGTATTTTATAGTTTCAGTAATTCATCGAAACCGTATTCCATCGGAACTGTATTCTATCAGAAACATACTTTATCAGAACCGTATTCCATCATCACCGTATTTCGTCAGAATCGTATTTTGTCAAAACCGTATTTCCATCAGTACAGTATTCTGTAGATGCACTAAATATCCAATTATCACAGATAACTTCATCACAGTTAGATGCACAGAATATTTGTGTTAGTACCGCCAAATGCATATAGATGCTGTTCACGGTTAGTTTGGGATGATTTTTGATTGTTTGATGAAATAAACTACTGATTGAAACATACGCAACAAGCACATTATTCACTAAATGGGACATTGCATATCTTTGCGATAATTCTACATATTCTGATGTCGTGTTCTCATTCTGAAAATGAATAGTCCACTAATATAAATCTAGAAAATATTGAAGATTTCCCCATGCTTCTCATTCGACGAAAAATGTTTGGGAAGTTTTTCGCAGTCCTATTCCTATAACGCTAATGCATATATACCTTGAAATATTTGAGCAATCTGTTTCAACCTGATCAATAACAACAATAAAATATTATTTCTTAAAATATAAGGTATCGTATTTCTAATTTATTTGATAGTACATTGTATTCTTTATACTTGTTCAATTTGTTTGAAATTCTTCCTTGTCGGATAACCGACTGATTGGCGCCCACAGCTTAGTAATTTTTACGTATAGGTACCTACCTATAGGTAACATCAAGCAAAATAAAATCCATCTTCTTCACGACCCACGATCCATATTCTCTCTGTTGAGCATACAGCCATGTTTGTGTTAAGCTTGTTTATTATTTATCATCAGATAATTTGATATTCAATCGATAATTTGATAGAACTGGAAATGAAATTTGATAAGGGCCACAATTGTTATTCATATAAGAAAAAACAATAAAAGTCCCAAAGTCTATCGACCACGAAAAAATTATTCAATATGATAGTTGTAGCTGGTTCCGGCCACAGGCCATCATCAGACACAAAATTGATGTATTCAGAAGTACCTTAAAGATAATAATAAACATTGTTAAGGAGTTGAAAAAGAGTCAAACGTCGATATACCAATACCTCAACAATACACAAAAATATCAGTCCTGGATTTGGAATAGGTTTGAATCTGGAAAAGTCCAGTAAAACCAGATCATATTAATGAAGAGATACCATTAGCACAATTTATCAAAAACTTAAAAACAAAATCTCTCACGTGAGATTCATTAGGTTATATGCAAAATGCAAATGGAAGCTAAGACGGAATTCGAAAAAAAAGAAACATTATAAATCACATAAAAAGTGAAACATGACAAAGAACAAGTGACACAAATCAATGTCAATAACACATGACATTCAAATAGAAATTGAATTAAGTGATGACACAGAATCATGATAATGACGAGTGACACCAGTCAATGTCAAATATAATAAAACTGATGAAACATTGACAAAACCAAATAAAATTCAGAAAACAATGGGAACAAGAGATTGGGAGGAGAACAACAAAAGAACAATAATTGTTATTTATTTCTGGTAACATATCAACTCATTTGTATTGTGCGTACCTAGGTATATATGTATAACTTCTCAATCATCAATTATTGGGGCATTTGTATATCTCTAGCAATGCTCAAATTCAATATAACTATGCGATTCAATTAATTATTAAGATTACACTTACAATTAATTGTTAAGATTACACCAAATTCTAACCAATAGGTACTCCAAACACGGCCGCACCCATATCTCCACCTGGCTGAACTTCTTGTTTCAACCGTAACATTATGTGTATTGTATACCTAATACCTATCTGATGAGACAACTCACACATGCATTTTTACTGTAGGTATGGGAAAGGTATCTGCATTCAATGCCGTCTATTATAATTATTAGTTATACCTATCCCCAGATGCTGAATATGCTAATTCATTTTCATAATAATTTTTAAATAATTTCTTCATGCCGCCAGACACATAGGTATAAACGCCACGTACTCACATACAATAAACTATAATTTACATTTTGGTAAAATGAGCTTATAATTGGTTACGAAGCATAAAATGTATTCAATAAAACATAATGACTCCAACTAACGGTGTTTACCAAACGAACTGTTCTCGAAATGATAACATAAATTTCATTTAACTACATCAGCCATATTAAATGAATCTTACTCAAATAAAGCGATTTATTATTAAATACGGAGCATAACGTGATTGGTCGCACCCCAACTTTAACGCATAACTTCTCGCTGAACCAATTGGCTTCGCGTTGCTCTTCGGAATAGGCCAGACGTTAACGAGAAGGCGGTCTTGGAAATGCCATTGTTACGGCACAACCAATGGAAACCCCGATGGGCGTTGGGGATCCTTTCAAACCCACTAAACGATCCGAAGGATCAGTCCAAACAGTTGTTTAGTAGATTCCGACAGAGTTTGTTTAAGGAGTTTTGGTGTTTGTTCGGTGTGTCAAGTGAGTCCAGCATGCCACGACCTTCGAGGGAATCCTACGGGGACCAGAAGCCACCGTACTCCTACATATCCTTGACGGCGATGGCCATATGGAATTCCCCTGAAAAAATGCTGCCCCTATCCGAAATTTACAAGTTCATCACCGACAGGTTTCCGTATTACAGGAAAAACACGCAGCGATGGCAAAACTCCCTCAGGCACAACCTGAGCTTCAACGACTGTTTCATAAAGATCCCGAGGCAACCTGATAGGCCGGGAAAAGGTGCGTACTGGGCTTTGCATCCTGCTGCATTCGATATGTTCATGAACGGCAGCCTTCTCCGTCGCAGGAAGCGTTTCAAGCTCCTCAAAAGCGACAAGGAGATCTTGGAGAATGAGCTGGCAGCATTGACGAACATCAACCGCATCATCTTCGCTCCGCCGAATCCTGTCGACTTGAACCCGGCGGCAAGTATTCCTGCCATAGCACCGCATCAACCCGCGTCGCCTACTCTGACGAAATCACCTGAAACTGCTGTGACTTGCATCAGGCCTAAGCGGTCCTTCACGATAGAGAGCTTGATATCTCCAGACAAACCTACTCCTGTGGCGCCCAGCCCGACGCATATAATGCCACCGGTTCAGCAATGGATGTTGTCAACTTCTTGTTATGATTTAGCCCTAGCTAATCATATGGCGCTGATGCCACATACTCCTACTCACTATGAAACTTATGGACTAACGAATCCTGAGAGTTTGTTTAGGCTGACACACCAGTTATAGCTCAATAGAGACACGTGATATGATAAGATGTTTATATAGAGGACTTTGTACCTATAGGAGTTGTATCGAGTGGCTTCTGTTTAGTTGAGAAGTTCTGACTGAGTTGATATTTAACGTACGTACTATTTTTTTACATTGATAGATATATTCTTATTTATTTGAATAATGTCTGTTTGATGAATTGAACAGGCGTTAAAATCCTGTATCTGGTTTCAAGAACCCTAGATACACATCCTTTCAAATATCTACAGTTTTTAGGTTGTGATTTTTTTATGTCAAGTCCCAAGTCTTATTATATAAAGTCCAATAGTCACAGATCATCAGTTTGTTGAAATAGTATTATATTATTCATCATTCGTGCGCATCCATTCCAAACAAGTATCATATAACGATGAGAAAATCATGCAGAATGAAGGTATTGAAAAAACTAGGACTATCAAGACTTCAACCGCAATCTATTTATATGCTCAATATTTATATGAACGAATTGAGAGAGCTTTCCGAACAAAAATATATCAGATAATAATTATAATATATCATTTTAGATCGACAAACCATTTAGACAAACAAAATGGCCAACTTTGAGCTTGAGCTTGAATTAAGTATCAATCTATGCTAAACCAAATTTACCAAAAACTTCAGGATGTAGGTAATTCAATACGTATACGGAATTGAAGCCTAATATATCTGCATTCCGAACTACACGGTGTTTAAACCAAGTATCTAATCAAAAACTCACTATATGTCACCGTCATCAGATGAAAATGTATTTTCCAGAAATGGTCCTTTACTTTTGTTTTCCAATGGATCTATTTTCTATATTTTTTATCAGATCGATAGAGCCCTATATTGATGTTAAACATGCATATTTGGCTCAAAATTAATTGAAGTTGTACAAAACAATCATATCAAACTCAGTATGGGCTCTGAAACAGTGTCAATTGGTATTGAAATATTTTTTTATTGTCAACTTCAATCGTCTATACCTCAACATTTTTTTAACCCAAATATACATCAGATTATTGATATCAATGGCATACGGAAAAACAGCTCTATCTACCTTTAACGACAAATTACAAGGTGCTCCATTTGAAACTTAATAGTTAATGACCATTCCTAAGATAGAATTCAAGAAATTTCATGGGACTTTTATATTACACCCATTCTTCCGTGTCCTAAAATGAAACCTGGAGAATGGGGACGGGGGATTCAATTTTAAGAGACGCACTATGAATATAATATAGCCAATCAAAATATTATAAGAAAAGGAAAAATCTACTCATTTCATTGCAGTGAGTATAATCTAAGGTGAATTCGTGTTTCCATTGATTTGACATATCTGTCAAGATACATGAAACTTTCGAAAAATTATGTCAAAACAACAATTTATTTAGTACCATCACACCGGAGCTCTACGAATTAGGAAATAATTCTTCAAACCAGTCGGATTATTCTCAATTCATCGTCACTCTCTTCCGATAATAATAAAAAAAAAACGCAAGATATATAATATAGACCGTAGCGACTGCTCCAGAATTTGAAACTTCGTAACTTCAGAATGATACAACCGCGATTTCAATTTCGATTCCAGTTCCTAGTTGTTCATCTTGATCATCTTTGGGCATCATAAATGATTTTTTCTCCAAATGACACTAATAGTCGCTTTTTATTAACACTTAGCAGGCAGAAAAATGGTACTTTTACTGCCTATAGGCAGAAAAAGTTTGTTGCTTTGCAACGTTCCAAGAAATATTTCGAATCAAATTGGTAATCAAAATTGACATGGGTGAATAACACAAAATGATGGATTATTTGGAGTTCGCGTGAAATTGGATGAATTTGGCTATGAAACGCCAGCCGCGGCATTAAATCTTGTGCTTTTCTGCGTAGTAAAACAAATAATTATTGTTTAATCCTGGAAGGAACTTGATATTGTATGAATGCCAAAGAATGATGAATGAAACTATGCAAATCAGACTAGAAAATGTTTTATTCGTTTGTAGAAAAAAGTTTCAACCATAATGTTTGAAAAATCATATTGCTGGATTAGCCGGAATTTCAAAAGCTCAGAAAGGACAAAGATCCATTGGAATAGAATAGTAGATGAAAAAAACTGGAATAGATTCAGACATAATCTAACAAATATCCTATTTTCCTCTGTTTTTGGATGGTGGTCAGGAGAAAACGGTATAGGCTACTCTGAAAGTAACAAAAATTAATTCGCCGCAAGTTGATGGTCAGGTCAGGTTGACGCATAAGAATGACACTGCGTTATATTCGTTGCATAATACCAGGTCACTTTTGAATGTATCCTAATATATGGATGGCACCAGGCGCATGAAATGTTGATTTTTAGTTCATATATGGCAGGCCTTGAAACCTGGCAGGCCTCATCACTGAACAGTACCTTATTATGTCAAATCAACACAGCTTCTTTCAAAGGCATGGGTTGGGAAAATAATCAGAACCCTGCAGATTGAGGATTTTCATCAACTTGTCGTGGAGCAGAGTAGCACAGCAAACTTCAGTTCCGTCATCCTTTAATAGTCAACATTCAACTCGACTTCGTTTGGATGATAGTCATCTGATTTGTTGATTATATGGTTCATAAATAACTCAATTCTCTAACAATTCTTCAACCATCAGATCCATCAGCCGTAAAAAAATTGACTGAACACACATTGAAGAAGAAAATAAGTAAACCTTATTTATTTCCTTCGGGAAACCCTGTGTTTGTCATTGCGAATTTACGAATCTATATCCCGGTTCGATAGGGTTATGCCAAACCGTTATGGGGTGTTAGTATTGGTAGGTGTGGATGGGGACAAATTCGCTGCGACCTGATTGAATTCAATAATATTCCCTTCTACTATCTCAAGGTGTTCTTGTTTATAGCAGCCCCACAATCTTTCGTTTTTCCAGGAATTCAATGAATTCAAGAGGATCTGTTCTCAAATTTCAACCACAGTGAGCTGATATGATTCCAGTATTTCGATATTATTATGCCATACATAACAATCCAACAAAATATGGTGGGGTGTTTATTATTCGCATCAGAATCTGCAAGTGCTGTCCTCCTGTAACCCTAGTTTGTTTAGATACTCTTTGGCTTCACAATGCCCCCTAAAATCCACTTATTGCTTCGAAACTGATTTTGCTGCGGTTGATTATTGCCGCAGTCCTGGAACTCTTCGCCAGTGTGTTGCTCTCATGGCTTCTCCAGCTTCATCAAGTTTATTTTGGAAATGGAAATTTCTCTTGCCAAAATATCTGCTCTCAATTCCCCTGTGTACTCTGATGTTCCCCAGCACCCAGAGGCGGACTACCAAATGTTGCTCCTGTCTAGATTGTTAAGTTTGTCCAGTCATCTTAAACTATCTTCAAGTTGATGTTTGGAGACCTCAACGCTTTGATGGCTGTTTGGTCGTCATAGAGGATAGAAATTCCCCGGTTTCGTTATCTCCTGTCAAGATTGAACTGAATGCACCTTTCTATGGCATGAATTTTGTCTGAAAGAATGCTGGGGGACTGGCCCAATCACTATGTGAGTGTGATAAAAACTGAATATCTCACGTGAACAATTTTTGGGAAATTTTGTATATCGCTACTTCGAAATTGGGAACCAACTCCCCAGAACTCGAAACTTGTGCGGGGTAAGGCTTATAATGGATTCCGAACCTATTCTAGGGCGCAATGATGCTGCCAGAATAACAACCAAGAATCACATGGCACTTGATATCTATTCAAGGCATTCGATCGAATCTGGCACCACCGACTCCTCGCCAAGCTTCAATCTTATGGCTTGCCTCCCCAGCTATGTTCACTGCTAGCTAGTTTTCTTTCGAACAGGTCTCTCTATGTAGTGGTCGACGGAGTTTCATCTGACTCTTTCATCATAAATGCTGGTGTTTCGCTAGGATCAATTCTAGCACCAACACTATTTCTACTTTATATCAACGATTTGTTGAGGCAAATCAGAAACGAACGAGGAAGAAATGTTGACAACATGAATATAGACTTGGCAACAATTTTCGAATGGGGATCCAATAACTTAGTAGATTTCAATGCAAACAAAACACCAGCATGCCTTTTCTCTAGAAAAGCCGATCTCACTGTGCCCAACATAAGCTTGTCAGGAGTGACGATACCTTCGAAGACATCCATTTAGTTGCTTGGTATCACTATCAGCAATAACCTTTCTTGGAAAAATCACGTGAGATCAATTGCTAAAAGTGCATCCCAAAAACTTGGTTTTCTGTTACGGGCCAGGAGCTATTTCACTTCCAGTCAACTGCTTATGATTTATATGGCACAGATTGAACCTGTCCTGTTATATTTGCCATATTTGTAGTGCAGCACCCAAACATACCCTAAAACTGTTGAATTCTGTCCAAAAAAAGGCAATTCGTCTCGTGGGTGATGCCTCGCTCACAAACTCACTCACCTCTCTGGAACACCGTAGAAAAGTTGGCGATCTGGCTCTATTTCATAGATATTTTCATGGCCGATGCTCTCCTGAAATACCAACAATTGTTCCTCCCTTGGCAGTCCCCGCGGGATTAACCCATCGAGTTGAGGCTTCGCATCCCTTCGTGGTCACTTTGGAGACCTGAAGAACATCTCTTTCCAGAGACTCGTTCATTCAACGAAGAGCGAGGCTCTGGAACACATTGCCAAGGAAGGTGTTCTCCAAGGCATGAAACCTCCAGAAATTCAAGGAGAACACCAATTCCTACCTTATTTTCCTTGGTTCTCACGATGTTCTCTGAACATTACATGATATCCCTTTTTATGCGAACCAGAACATAAAAAAACATGCACATAAAAAAAGCTCAGCCAAGCTGGATTCGAACCGACAGCATCTCTGCATCGTATACGACTGTCTAGCGAATTTGAGCGCTGTAGTCATTTCGGATTCCTTGCCCCGTCCAATGCAAAAATGGCTTATGCATTCAATATTGGAACTGGTGTATACAGCAGGAATGTCTTTGTTGAACGAT